CTGCATATTCCAGGTCAATATTCACATTCAGTTGCATGACTCAGGTTCCAGGAAAGAGAGATGCCATACAAGATCACAACTGCAATTACAGCTATGAGTTGAGTCCTGCATAAGCCAAACAGGAACAATAGGGATCATCACTCCTGAATCTCATTTTTGATGGTGGCATTAATATCTCATTCCCTCAGGGATGTACTGTTACTTTTTGCTTATGATTTTGGTGGAAAATGGTGATTCCAGGGTTTCCTTTGCTGTTCATCACAATAGCTGTTATTTTGTGGGACAAGGTAAAGCTTCTACCAGTTGCCAAACATGTCTATGACAACGTGCCTACAGAAACTGGGAAATAGCCACAGAATAATCATGTGTGATAGACTCAGGCCCAAACTCCTTTTTATCACTTGACCCCCATGTAGGAGGGTCAAGTGAAAAAAAAAAGTATTACAAGCTGGATTGCTTAAATGACAGAAATTTATCATCTCACAGGTTGGAGTCTGGGAGTTCTAGATTAAGGTATTGGTAGGGCTGGTTCCTTTGAAGGAATGTGAGGGAGAATCTGTTCTAGACCCTCCTAGTTCCTAGAGGAATTAGTTTTCTGGCAACATTTTGTTTCCTTTGGCTTCTGCTGCACTGCTCACCCCAGTCTCTGCTTTCAACTTCACACAGTGTTCAGCCTACGTGTGTAACTGCGTTCAAATTCCGCCTTTTTATACAGACACCTATCAGATTAGGGGGCCACTCTGCTCCGGTACGACCTCATTTTGTTTTAATTATATCAGCAATGACTGTTTCTAAAAAGGTCACATTTTGAGGTACTTGGAGTTAGGACATATTGTCCCTCTAAAATAGTGATCATAATTTAATCCATAATACACCAAAAGTTCCTATTCTAACTAGTGGACCACAAAAACCTTTTAGATCTCTTGAGATTTGTGTTAGAATAAACCAGTCTCCAAGTAATACTTAAAGGTCTGGGAATACCCAATCTCACTGAGCGCAGGAGCATAGGTAAATGGCTTATGATTCCCCTGGGGAAAACTAGAATGTAGTTATGTGGTATTGCTGGGTGCTTCCTCCAGGATACCCAGCATCCCTTTATTTACAGATCTTAGTTCTGAGAATTGAATGTCCACTTTTTTTTTTTTTGTACCAGGGATTGAACCCAGGGGTGCTTACCCATTGAGTCACATCTTCAGTTCATTTTTTATTTTTTGAAATAGGGTCTCACTGTGGCTCAGGGCACCTCACTAAATTGCTGAGGCTGGTTTTGAACTTGAGATCCTTCTGTCTCAGCCTCTGGACTCTCTGGGATTATAGGCATGTGCCACTGTACCCAGAAAGTCTCCATTTTGGACCTCAAAGGAGTTCTCTATTTACCAGACCTTAGGTTTTGTTTGATGTATAAATAAAGTAGGACATTAGTAGGTTCTCAATATGTTTCATCACTCCAGCTTTGTTGCCCTGGTACAATCCCTTGGCCCCTCCTGTCACTCTGACCATCCTCTGATATTAAGGATTTTGATTCAATGGTAACATCTCTTAGCCTTATTCCCAGACTAGGGAGGATATATTCTATAGCACTTTTATTCAAAATAAGGGGTTTGGGGCTGTAGTTCAGTGGTAAAGTGCTTGTCCAGCATCTGTAAGGTCCTGGGTTCCCAGCATGGCAAAAGATAAAAAAATTTAAAAAATTAGGGGACAAAATTAGGAGATAAGTAGATCATATACATAATAAATCTACAATCAACATCTCTATCATCATTTTTGGTTCTTCTAGTTATACTAAGGAATTTATAACATCACAATTTCTTGAGCATAGGCTACTTTTAAGTCCAGGTCTCATCTAACCAACTAGCTAAGAGTCATTCTCAGAGCCGAGCACTGTGGCCCATGCTTGTAGTCCCCAGTGACTTGGGAAGCTGAGGCAGGAAGATAACAAGTTTGAAGCCAATCTCAGCACCTTAGTGAGGCCCTCTCAAAAAATAAAAATTAATGTGGGTGTAGCTCAGAGTAGAGTGCCCCTGGGCTAAATCCCTAGTGCTTCCCCCCAAAAAAGTCATTTTTTGGTGGATAACCCCAATAAATATAAACATACTAAATCCAAAGATCTCCATTACACTACATTGATAAATTCAACCAAAATGAAAATCAATTTATCTTCCTTTCTTCCCTAGCTACCAACTTTAGAATCAGTTCACGACATACTCCCCAGGTTCCTGCTGATACAAATTGGCAAAATATTGTAGTTCTTTTGTAAGTCTTTTCTCACATCAGACTGTCTGCCTTCTTCTAGAAAACCCAGAAATCTGCCAGGTGCTACCAGAGCGCACGCCTGTAGTTCTAGTAGCTCAGGAGGCTGTGGCAGGAGCATTGTGAGTTCAAAGCCAGCCTCAGAAACTTACTGAGGCTCTAAGCAACTGTCTCTAAATAAAATACACAATAGGGCTGGGGATGTGGCTCAGTGGTTGACTGTCTCTAAGTTCAATGCCCTGTAACACCCTCCCCTCAAACAAACAACAAACAATCAATCAAAACCCAGAAATCCGACTCTAGCTACAAATCTGGTAGTAATGACAGGTAGTGGGTTGGACATGAGAAGTACTGGTATTTTCTTTCAAGGCAACTACCCCAGGGTCTCCAAGCAACAGAACCAGTTACATCAGTGAGGGGAAGAAGAGCTGCTTTTGTTGGTTAAGAGAAGCTCCGTGTATGTGGAATTAGTGGTTCAGAGCTCAAATGTCCCCATTTCTCATTTCAGGGTCTCACTTTCCCAAATGATGCCCTAACTTTCACAGAAGAGACCTGGTAAATCTCCACCTGATTTCCACATACTTCAGCCTCAGCACAAGATAAAATTCTCTTGGGGCTCTCCTGTGGTACATGCCTGTAATGACAGTGACTTGGGAGGCTGATATAGGAGGATTGAAAGTTCAAAGCAAGCCTCAGCCACTTATCAAGGCCCTAAGAAACTTAGCAAGACCTTGTCTCAAAATCTCTGGTGTAGTCCCCTAAACCCTCAGTTCTCATGTGATAGTCTGTCACACAAGCCTCTTGATCTGCTAGACTTTTCCACTAAGAGACATTTTTCTTTGGGTGACCACAGATACCAACCTTTGCTTATAATTTCATTGTATTCAAAGGCAACAAGATCCTCATTTCCTATAAACCCAACTTAATCATAACTAATCTAAGTAGGTCTGTTGCCTATAACCATTTTTGAAATAAAAAATAGTTGCAGACAAATGTCTACCAATTTTAAGTAGAAAAGGATTCAATATAGGCAAATTAGGTATTTACTGAAGAGTTGGGAAGCCTTGGCAAGAGGGCTGTAGGCTGGGCTTCCAGGAGATTCATAGAATTGGCCAGTGCTGAGAGCTGTTACCTCTGCCACACCGGGGAGATGAGGAATCAGGAGGTCATCCCAGGTTGACTACAAAAACACGTATCACAAGCTGTTACCTGTCAATCAGGATGCCCTTCAACACTGATGAGAGCCATTGATGGGTAGTAGAATACCACTGATGAGACACTAGGTCTGTACATCTTGAAGCCCAAGTAGCTAAAGACAACCCCTAGATGCTCCTCCCTTCCACATCTCATTTGTGCATCCAATGGGCAAAATTTAAATTCAAGGGAGTCTAAGACCTGAAATTCTTAGCTTGCTAGCAGCCTGCAGTACAAGAGGGTGTGTTAGGTCCGAATGAGAACCCATTTGCTATGGCACAGCTTCTTTCCATTGACCTAAGTAGGACTTGTAAACAGACACATCCTCTCCTAGTTTCAGCCCCTTTGAAAGCTGACTGCAGCGCTCTGTCTGTCTAGCTTTGCATATTATTTACCTTCTTGGCCTCAGAGACCCCTTTAGTTTTCTTGTTTTCTATGTCGTTTTGCTAATCTACACAAAATTGCCCCTAGCTAATCTGCTTCTCTCCCTGCCTTAACCTATTTTGTTCCAGTCACATAGGTCACTATACTGTGTCTTTTAAAAAAGCAAACCAATGATGCTCCACCAAAGGCCTTTGTACTTTATTTCTCATGTCAATTGTACTCTTCCCCTATTCAGTTCCTCATTCCGTTCAGATCTCAAATCGAAGAGGTCTCATACTGCCCACCTAAAACATCACCTACCACTGTCTTCCCTTTGTTTTTACCTCAGCATACCTGTCCTTATTATGTACAACTGACTTCCCCCACTAGAGTATAAATTCCATGGAGACAGGAATTTTGTTTTCCTCACTTCTGCATCCCATATCCTGCGTAGTTATTTCACAATGAATGAAGGCCATATGAAGAAAAAATTAGCCAGGAGCTATGGGTATGCCTGTAATCCCAGTGATTTAGGAGGCTGATGTAGAAGGATTGAAAGTTCAAATCCAGGCTCAGCAATTTAGCAAGGCCATATGCAACTTAGTGAGACCATGTGTCAAACTAAAAAGGGCTGAGGATGTAGCTCAATGATTAAACACCCCTGGCTTTAATCCCCAGTATGAGAGAGAGAGAGAGAGAGAGAGAGAGAGAGAGAGAGAGAGAGAGA